GTGTGTGTGTGTGTGTGTGTGTGTGTGTGTGTGTGTGTGTGTGTGTGTTTGTGTTGTCAGTGGCAGGAGTGTGCCTGGGTTTACACCAGCTGAGATCTGGCAAAAAGGCAGAATGAGGAGGAGTGTGCCGAGCCCGCTCCTTCGCTGTTGTCCCCAAACAACACGGATATTGTTGTGGTGATACCAAGGAGATTACAGTGACAATGGCTGAGAGGATATCTTCATTTAGTTGACACACACACACACACACACACACACACACATTCAAACAACTATTGTGTGGAGACCCACAAGCACCTGCCTCTTATCACCCTCACACACATATCCCAGTTGTTTGGACACTAAATAAAGTCTCCCGGTGCGTGTCAAAACGCCATCAATCGCCTGTCCTCTCAGATAAGACAAATAGGGCTCCTCAAGGAGGGCTGATGATACAAGCATCAAAGTGAGTCCATGTTTCAGGGACTTTATTTGTTAGAGTCATCGGGTCATGTGGGGAATGCTGGTACATGTTTGTTATCACTGAGTCACAGACCTGTGGCATCAGTCACTTCTTCTTTCCACTAACACCCTCCTTATGTCTTCACTTACAGCAGACAACCAAAGAAAAGCTAATTCTGTCAAGTCACACAGTGATGATTATGGAGAGGACATGCAAAACAAGCCAAACTAGACTCTCGAAGGAAAGCGTTAAAGACTCAAACTTTGACATTGAAAAAGGCAAAAAAAGATAGAGGTATACTTGAGTGTTTTTCCCAAAATGTTACAATATTAGGATGCCAAGTTAAAATATACGATTGTCCTTGAATTTGCTTCACCACTTTTACATTTTGCAACCCAGTTTCATTACGGCTTCTCTGTCCTGAACCCTCTAAATACAAAAGGATTTCACAAGTTAACACTTTGTTACTGCGCACCACAGAAAACTTCCTCAATGCACCCTCAGCTTTACCCTGCCAACCACACAAACACAGCAACCCCAGTAACTGCTATAGCTGCACCAATGCAACGCGGACAACTGAAGCAAAACATGCCTCCACGGCAACTGAACGCTCACCTGTTAGGGTGAAGAGAACACAGCAGACATAAAGCGCTGTTCTTCCTCTGGCCTCCATGGCATCTTATTCTCTAGAGATATGTGGGACTTCTGACAGGCAGGCAGGCAGGGAGTGAGGGATGTAGGAAGGAGGAGAAGAGTGGATTAGAAAGAGATGGCGGAGGAGGAGGAGGAGGAGGAGGAGGAGGAGGAGGAGGAGGAGGAGGAGAGAAATGTGACTGGTTGTGGTCATAACATTTGCCAGGGAAATAAGAGGAGCTAGCTTTAGCCTGCATGCAGCCAGGCCCCTCCCATGAGACACCAGGAGGAAGAAGAGGTCCACCTGGCAGAGAGGCAGCACAGCATGGTCCTCTCTCTGTCTCTCACACACACACACACACACACACACACACACACACACACACACAGCTGCCCTAAGGCTGAGGGTTTCTCTCCATCAACTGTAAAAGGATAGTTGAGTCTTTACATTATAATACACCAGCTGTTTGCTGCTTTAGTCCCTGAGGCTGTGAAACAAAGAAAAAGCAGGCAGACAGAGAGATTTTAACCGCTCATGTCACTCCGTTTGGTTAAGTTACAGAGCCTTCGGTGAACACAATGGTCAACAATCAGCTCCTCTGTCTGCAATTATTTTGTAGTCTGGAAACTGGAGGATAGAAAGACAGAGAGAAAAGTTACTGAGGAACGACGTACTAACACATGTATCATTGACTTTTCAAATGCCTTCAAGATACAGACGAGATGCTGACGGAATTTTTTTATTATTTTTCAGCCCTCTGGGACATTGTGCAGACAACATCTACAACAGAAAACTGCAGGGAAATCTGTTGTTAATTCTTGTCTAGCAAGTGGTTTGCATTGCTGCTGAACAAAGACTTATTTGTGTCACTAGCAATGTCAGTTTCACTCCAGTATAAAATACTTTTCAAATCATATTCTTCAGAAAAACTGGGGGTTTTAAATCATTTCCTGTTCATTGCCCGCAGTAGTGAAATCTAAGCCAGTCAACGGTTTGTCTCAATGTGCAGGAGACAAGCACAAACAGACACAGAATAGTCACATGTTAAACACATAAACACACACCCTTAAGACCTTGTTTAGTGCCGTTTTGTTTTCTACATGGCCATCCTCTGAAAGGATGTGGTGAAACTTGGGACTGAACTGCACATTGAATGAATTACGCCATTGTAGGTTTTGTAAATGAGTGCCTGGTTTGGTGATGGCACCATTAAATACACTGATTGTTATCTTTGCTGTCAAGCACTCCATTGGATGTCCATCTGCTGAGAAACCTGATAAAACTGAGGTTGTGTCACATCAATACGATATTTGTTAGAGAGAACACATGATTTGGGAAATTTGACAGGGATTCATCTATTATTAATGTTATGGGAAACAAATTTTGAATGAATGCAGTCCAAAGGATCTCAGTCTATAAAGTTTAATATTGTTCTAGCAGTGAGAAAAGAGTCATTGTATTCTCTTGGACCTTCACTTGATGAAGCAGCAGCTCTCAGAACCTGCAAGTTTACTTTCCACCTTTAGATGGAGTCAATGCATCATCTATCAGACAAAACCTGCCGAAGGACTTTTGAAATGAGATGTGTTCAGCAGGATATAATATGTTTAGGGCTTAGTTTGTATGTGTTAATTGTGACTTTGCATTGAAGGGTTAGACTTACTTACATGTGCTTACTCTGGCATTGCATGGCTCTGTGGCAGTGGTTCGCAACCTTTTTAGACTTGTGACCCTATAAGTCAAAGCAATGTCTATTCACAGGATGCATATTAGTTAGAGTGATAGCTTCTCAGAATTGTTCTCAGTTGTAAGATGCCTGAAGAGGCCTAGTTTTTGTTTTTTTAACAATGAAACACACTAAAGTTTTGGAAAACGTTCGAAAAATGATCTCAATTTGTAAACATAACAGATGATTTACCTTGTACTTCTCTGTCACACACATTACGAATATGCTGTTGACAACATTTTGTTGTCAAGTGAAAACGAAGCATCTAAAACATTTGGTGATTTTGAATTTTTCAGAAAGGTTGTTTATTTTCATTCAAAGGGAACAAAAAGTTGGCATAACACTGGGGGATTGTGAGAAAGACAAACAGAGCTTGCTGTAGCTAATAGGTCAGGATGATGTGACTTGTACTGTGGTGAGTGATGAGTTATAAAACTTGATCCAGCCTCGAGCTGAGACATATTTACCAGGGTCAAGATTAAATGTCCTAGCCAAAATGACAGAAGGTTTCACATGTCTGCCCAGGCTCTTCCTCTTTTATATTTTAAAATATATTACATATTTTATCCATCTGATCTGGCCTGTGTTATGTTAGAGGCCTTTTTGGACCGCTTTAAGACCAGGACACAGCAGCTGAGTGGCACGCACACACACACACACACACACACACACATACACACACACACACGCACACACACTCACACAACCTCATATGGGGGCCCTCTTGCTGTGTTAAAACATGTCACATTTTCCATTTCCAGCCTCCCAGCCCATGTCTGTGACTGTTGCCACACTTCACCACAACTACCCCTCTGTGTCGATTGCCTCCCGCCGCCTCTCACTCCTCCACCCCATCGTATCATCTTGTTGTTCTTATTCTTGTAGCACCACATCATTTTCCTACTGATGATTTATTCCAAACCCAAACCCTTCCTCACTCTTTTTCATGTTGCCTTTGCTCCTCTTGATCATCATGATGTTCTTTTCTCTCCTCCGCAACATCTGTATATATCTCTTCTCCTCTACTTCAATCTTCTTCTTTTCTTCTACTTCTTCTTCTTCTTCTTCTTCTTCTTCTTCTTCTTCTTCTCCCTCTTTTTGGGATTGTTCCTCTTTTCCTCTTTCATTCCTCCTCTCCTCTAGCAGCCTTGGCCTCCAGCTGCAGATACTCAGAGCAGACACAGCACACCAGCCCACATCAAGGCCACACAATTGGCACACGTGTGTGCATGTGCATGTGTGTGTGTGTGTCTGGAGTAGTCGTTACAGTGGGGCCACATAGGGTGTCAGCGGCCTACTGTGATATACTTTGGGCTCCCATACATATTTCTGTCCACTGACATGTGGATTTCAATATAACTGTAGCTGTGTCGTTATGTTTAAAGGGCCCTATATTTCGTCAGTGAGGTCGTTGAAGTGCAAGATTAACACATCTGTGGCAGTCACCTACATGTAACACCAGTTTAAGTTATGGTAAAGAATATTTCACAGCAAAAGCAAGCACTCACACTCTCGCACACGCAATCCATGACTGTGTGAAAAGATAAGCAGGCACGTACAGTTGTGCCTTTATGGGTTGTCGATAAGAGGATGTCACGCCTTGAATAACAACTTGAAATGCTATATAGGCTTCATATGAGGAAATGTTTGCCTATAGCTGAAAGGGAACAAGAGACAGAGAGAGTGGGGTTAAGTGGAGCAGTGAGGCAGCAAAGAAAAGGGGCGGGGATGTCTGCAAGGCCTGTGAGTGATTTGATTGGATGACAGGGTTTCATTCACACGGAAAGATTTATAACAGTGGGAAACAGAAAGTTGGACACACACACTGCACTGTCTGTGTGCGTGCATGTGTGTGGGTGGATGCAGGCGCATGTTTTCCCCTCATGCTTGCATGTGAATAGCACTTTTTTTTTACTGCTGCACCGTTGAACCCTTCTATCTCTCTCTGGATCTGACTGTTGTTGCCTTAATAGCACCTTGACTTCACGAACCAAGGGTTTGACCCAGAGCAGCGCAGGTTGAGTCAATGTGAATCTTTCAAAGAGATCTCGCCGTGCTCCACCCTGAACTTTCAACATCAGTTAAAACACATTGTGTGTCAGTATGTGTGTGTATGTGTGTGCATATAATGCAAATGTGTCCCAAAGCAAACATGTAAATATGCTTCTACAAGCTACATAAGTTTGTCTTCCTTCAAGTAATGCTTTGTGTGTGTGTGTGTGTGTGTGTGTGTGTGTGTGTGTGTGTGTGAGAGAGAGAGAGAGAGAGACTGTGTGTCTAGTGGCAAGAGCCTCACCCCTTTAATGCATTCCACTATCTCGCGCCCACGCACTCGCCATGTGACCCACAGTCAATGACAGGAAATAAGCCGGTGTCAAATCCTGCTGCCTGCAACCCAGATCCTCTTCTGCTTCCAGTCAAAGACTTTGTGTGCTCAAAACCTAACACACCCACAGCAGCACAGAGCTCAATGTAAATCTATAGGAACATAGCCGCATTCTTCCCCAGTCTGTGTGCACTTTGGTTCCCCTACCGTCATTGCTTAATCTCGGTTGAGTCATTTGTTTCTTAATTCGAATGACATAGTGTGAATATGACTAAGCCCATACTTAATTTAAATTCCATGCTTAAATAACTCATAACAAAAAGTTTGCATTCACTGCAGCACATGTGGCATGGTATCTGTCAACGGCAGGTGTAGCGCTGATAAAAACTTTTCTCAACAGTTGTGTTGACACAGTTGACACCCATATGCACACACATATTATCTTGTTTCCTGTTCTCCAGTCTAGAGTTCCTTAGAGAGATTAAAAATCAAAGATTCATACTGTGAATGGGTGCTTTTCTGAGACGTATGTCATTTTTTTGGGGGGGGAAAGAAAAACATATACTAGACTTAAAGTATGCAAAGTGTCGACTCCAGATATGAGTAAGTTAAATGTCTCTGCAGTGCAAAGTGTATATTTACTAAAGAAATGAAAGTTCACAGTTATTCCATCGCAGTAATGACTTTTTAATTAATTCCCTTGCAGCGTTTAGTCCAACACTCACACACACGCGTCCATGAAAAATAGGTGTTTACATCGTACACGGCACAAACCAAACTGGTGTGTGTTTTTTTGTGGGTGGGTGCACGTGCATGCATAAAGAGTCGAGTGGACACAGCCACCTCTATGTTCTCTCCAGCAGTAAACCGTTGGCTGTTAAGACAGAACACAATCCCCGGCTGAAAGGCAGTACTCCCTTTGCTCAGGTCTGTGCTGGTCGTCTTAGCTTCACACAGTCGTAAAGCGCAGAATAAGGGAAAACAACACTGCGCTACCAATCAGAGGTAAAAGGGTATATGTATGTATAAACCTTATTTGACCAGCCTCACTGGCGTAGTAACAGCCTCGAGTAACCT